GAGCTTTCGGATGGGACATTGCAGAAATATTTCAAATAGAAATCCCAAGTATTTTTCAGCCAACACATATGCATATACATTCCTGATATTAGACCCCAAGTTTAATTTGGTTTCCAAGATTCAGGTTCAAGAAATGGAGAAAGAAATAGAAGACAGAGCTCATGTAAAGCCAAAGCTAAGTCAGACAACCCAAGATAAATCTGTTTTAGCAACCACTAGAACTCATGAAACACTAATAGAACTTGACATATTAAAGTTTTGATTAGAAAAATCCAACCAAAAACGAGGACAAGAGAGAACAGCTATAATGTGGCAGCAAATAGAACTTGACATAAGAAATTTTAACAGTCATGGAATCTAAATGTGGCAGCAAAGAAGAGAGAACCTTAGGATCAAATTTCGTGAAACTCACCACAACGTAAGGAGTGCATAAATCTTTTACATCCTAAGCCTATTAATTAAAGTAACAAGAATCATTAATTTGCCCACAAAAAAAAATTGAGAGAACAAGATTTACCAGTGTTCATGGCGAGCACCTTCTTGATTTTCAGACGGATTATAGGAGGGTTGTTCTCCTCCTCTGTCAAACCTCGAGCTCGTTTTCCTATTTCAGTTGAAAGCACAACCCAACAAAAGAAAAACAAGGACATAGTGAGATTCAGCCTAAGGACCTTACCTTTTATGGGAGAGTCGTCGCGAGAACGAGAGCAAGGAGTTCCTTTCGGACCAATTGACCTAGGTTTTGTACTTGCTGAGAAAAGGAAAAAAAACAAAAAAAAAATCACGCAAATAACTTTGTTCCTTGATACTTACATTGCCTTGTACACGAGGATCTGTGCTTGATTTCAGATTCCTCGAGCGGCTCGCAACTCTTCAATTGCTCATCTGCAAGCTTGTTCTTCCATTTTTTTTCTCCAATATTCGATTATTTTCGAGAGCCACAAAATTTTACGGAAATTAAAGGCCCAAAATATTTTGCCGCTCTAAAAGGAGTGGAAAAAAATCAAACCCACGTATTCCGACAATACGTTTTCAAATGCTTTTATTTATAAAACGTATTCTTAAAATACGTTCACATAAATAAAACGTATTATTATAATACGTATTAAGAAAAAAACATAATTAACATAATTAAATTAAGTTAAAACGAAAAACAGGAATACGTTTTAAATGAAACCGTGTAATATGAATACGTTTTATAATAAAAAAAAATTAAATAAATTTTTTAATTATAAAAGCGAATTCTGTAAATGCGTTTTTAAAATAAAAATGATTTTTATAGTTTTTAAAAATAAAAAATTTTCGGAAAAAATATTTTGAATAATAAAACGTATTTGGATAATACGTTTGCGTCGAAAAATCAATTTTGCCCTAATTCAATTTGAAAATAAAACGTATTCCGGGAACACGGTTTTA